GAGAAATCACCCCAATACTTCTCAAACTTAGTAAGAATGCTGGCAACCATTGGTCTAATGTAATCCAGGCTACTAGACATTGCAGATTTGAGTGAAGCATAAGCATTTGAAATAAAAGGAAAGTAAAGGTTTGACATTTGATATTTAGTACCAAAGAAAATGCAGGTTATCTCATAGAAAGGAGCTAAGAACTTATAAATATTCTCTCATTTCTCCCATTCAGTGCTACTGGGACATGCTTTGTAATTGGACTCAACCAACTCTAGATGAAGGAAAGCACATTTATAGTAAATATCAGAATCAAGCAGTATGAAAGTTGAGTTCCACCTAGTTGGAACGTCTTTGTGCAATCCCCTCTTCGAGTCCAAATAACTATGTTTTATACAATCCAAAAAATTTTGTTTCCTAGCCTTAGAATCCTTCACATATTTATGCTCTCCCTAATCCTAGAGATAGAAACATTTATCTCATTCATACCTTCATGTACGATAAGATTTACCATATGTGCACAACATCGAACATATAAAAATTCACCATTGCTTATCAAACTATCCCTCATGTTCAAATAATTTCATAAAAAAATCTATGAAAATAGTATCAGATGAAGCATTCCCAAGAGTGGTACTAAAAAGTTTGTTCTCAATCTTCCAATCATTTAGGAAATATTGATTCATCTCAAACAATAAAATCCCATCATATGAGGGTGGTATGAAACTAAAATTAATAATATTTTTATGGAGCCTCCAGTTATTGTCAATGAAATGAACGATCAAACAAATAAAACCATCAATGTTAATAGAGTTCAAAGATCTGATGTCAAGCAAACACTATTTATGCATCTACTCGAGCATGATTGAATGTTGGTCTTCTCTCTAATGTACATCTTCTTACAGTCACTTCTAATTGTGTTTCTCAACACAACTTATAAGTCAGGGTGGAGATAATGAAGTAATGAATGTACACCGATTCATTCAACACACTGAAATGATAGATCATGCATCATAATGACAGCAGTGAACAAATCACAGAATTCTAGGAGGTCAAACTTACTGTTAGTTAAGGAAATTAATGAGCTAGAATTCATTTGCAAAATTAACTAGCCTATATCACGGGTACTTCTTTTCTTACAAATTTACAAATGATGTTTTAAGTTGTCAGTGCCACTCTTGCTATCAGATTAATAAATTGTGCAACTTTTCTTATATTTATATCTTTGTCTACCATGAGCAGCAACATGTAATATCTCATAATGACCACATAGTTGAAGTCATCGAAGTCATCATTCTTTTTTTCTTAAGAATGTTTGCTTCATACTTTTCCTTTACATCGTCATCACCAATGTCAACATAATTAGTGTTTATTTCAATTTCATCTCCTTCATTAACACCAACATCAACTTGTTCATGTTCAAAAAAAGAAGTACTTTCTATAACATTACTGGAGTCCTCCATCTAAAAAATGCAATTAGATATAGTTACAAAGTATAATACACAATCTGAATGGAACAACCAACATCTCACCATTATTTTTTTTTTATAAAGTATAATACACAACGGAATAACCACAATGGAACAACTTTTTTTTTCCCGAGCCATGAACAAAGCTTATGAAAATGGAAGAGAATACATAGGGCACTTCATGTTATCCAAAAAAAAAAAAAAAAACATAATCTATTAAGCTAATTATTATATTTTCATAAACCAAAGAAGCATAACACTATAAAAGCCATAACTGCATAACCAGAAACCCTAAACTGTTAAACTAACATATATAACAAAGAAGTCTCTATTAATCTAATTATCTCATAAACCAAGGACAAGACAACATAAGAATATAACATCCATAAATTAACATAAAAGTATGTCTGTACGTGTACAACTACATAACATTATAACAACAAGAACAAAATACATAATACTATAATATCACTCACTAATAACTAATTAGCCGTCAATACGGATGAGCATAGACAGACAACATAGAATCAGAGAATCATTCACCATTTACCCTAAAGTCTAAACAACATAATATGAGATAATTCAAAATATTTTCTCCTCCGAGCATAATATGCAGTATGAACCGTGAATTTGGTAAAAAAATAAAAATAAAAAACCCTAAATTTATAAGTCTTTATGCATAACGTGAAAAGATGAAATAACTTAAATCAATGAATCACAATAACTTTCAAAATCATCAACACAAAATAGCCATAATCCTAAATATTAAATAGACAAAGAGATACAAACAAATAAAAAATTAGTTCAACCTGGAAGGCGCGGCTGTGTCGGAGCCTATAAGCACCGACGAGAGAAACAGATTACACAATACATACGAGGTCGACAATCAAGAGCAGGCGAGCTCGAGAAGATCAGAAGAGAGAACACCATAAGCCTAGTACGCGAGCCAATAGTCAAGACAACATAAATCTGAAATCCCAAAATGGAGAAATGAGAATAGATGAGCACATCACACTGCATGCGAGGTCATTAAACCCCTAAACTAAAAAATATGCGGGTTATAATCAGGTTTGTGTTGGGTTTTTGGGTTAACCCGAACCCAACCAAATTTTAAAAATGGGTCAGATTGCTGAACCTGAACCTGACCCATTTTGAAAACAAGTTGACCCGAACTCAGAATTTTCCTGATCACATTTTAGGTCAAGTCATGTATTGACACCTCTATTAAAAAGCACCCATATTGTATTTGAAAGGTATAAAATTATATAATAGTCATATAATAAATTACAAGATAATATTTTTTTCAAAAAAATATCAAAAAAGTTATATCATTATATTATACTCAATTATGTACACCAATAGAACAATAAATTACGCAAAAGTTATATCATCATATTTTTAGATAATATTATCAAGAAAATAATTGATGAAAACTCATAACAATTTATTGAAAAAAAAAATTCAATGAGTTTTGATTAGAAGTCGAAGGGACAATACAGAGCTAGGTAGTAAAAAAAAAAAAAAAAAAAAAAAAAAAAAAAATCAAATTCAAGCATAAATCTCAAACTACACTATATCTTCTTTTTAGGAGTATTTTCAAGAGGCTAAATCACTGTGAAGTTGAACTAAAGAAAGCATGATGACAATTACATGGAGAACTAGGTTGAGGAAATATAAGGAGATAAAAAATTGTGGTTGGAGGAAAAAAAAAGTTACTGCAACTTCTTTAAAATCTTATAACTAGTGGAGAAAATAGGCTACCAATTCATTGTCTCTAGCAATAAGAGATACTTCTCACTAACTAGTTCACCTTTACAACATTCTCCTTTAATCTATTTGGCTATATTATCAGGGTGTTTGTATTGGAATGATTTTCTTACTAAACAAGTGTCACTGCTCAAATAAATCCATTAGCTAAAGTTGACATTGCCTTCATTCTTCAAAATTATTGATTAGTTGGCATCACCTTGAATAACTTTTTAATTCCTTACCTATGCCATCAAAGCTTGATGCTATAAATTAGTTAAGATTATATCATTAAAACTAAAATTTTGAATTTGATGTTCTAGATGCATTAGAAAGCCCAAAAAGCATCTCTATTTGTTCATATAATTCATTTCAATTCTAGAGTAAGTTTGCATTCATTATGTAGTCTAAGGTTTCGTTTGTGATGACTTTCTTACTGCTTCTTAAAGTAGCTTTATAGTACAAAATTTTAAATCTTTTTTTTTTTACTAAAAACCTGTTTTAAAAAACAACAAAAAAGCCATCCCAAATGAAGCCTAAATTTTATTGGGAGATAATCACTCTTAAGATCAATTTTGGTAGAATTTAGTCTAATTATCATCAATTCTAAGTATATAGAACATATACTTGATTTTGATGTTGTTAATGTCCAAGCTATCAACACACATTCTCAAAGAATTATCTTTCTCTATTTTTTTTTTATTTTTTTTATCTTTCTCTATGATAAAGCAATTATGATTCCAATCATTATATAGTTGGTTACTATTATAAAGTAAGAATACCATGTAAAAGTGATGGAAAATTCATATATTATGAGAAATTATAATTTTTTAAAATTATTTTATAATAATTATGAGAATGCTAAAATGATTATTTATAATTTTATATCACTCTCTAAGAAATTATTTTTCTAGTATGTCATTAATTTGATTCTTAAGCTCAACACATTATGTAATGTTCATCATCTAATGGGAAAAATTAAGTAATAGAGACCATGACAAAAAATTTATTATAAGTTGAATTTATTTCATGGGAATAATTCATTAGGTAATTTAGAGGGGGGCAATATCTATAAATTCATATAAGAAACAGAATATTAAAAACGAAAACTCAACATCTATAGTAGGATAACTTTTGTACTAAAAAGCTATTTTAAAATTTTTTCAAAAACTTTTTGAATTAAAATTTTTTGTAACTGCTTCATAAAATAATAAAAAATTGTCCCAAACTGAAATTTGCACTTAAGAGAGAAATCCTTTCCGCAGCATAGAGAAATAAGATTTGCATGCAAAATAAGAAAAAGTTTCCTAACATTACAATCATAGTCTATAAATCTATAATTTTCAGAGATTATGCAAAAATATTAACTATAGTATTTAACACGAAAAAAATTATAGAAATGGAGATAATTTCTTCTAGAAACAACACATAAGCCATCAATGAATTTAACCAACAGTTATAATGTGCACATATAAAGGTAGAGGATCAATTAGCTTCCAAGAAAATATACTATATTTTGAGAGAAATTATTATGTGCAGAGACTGGACGCAGAATGCCGCCCGGAGACCAATCAGAATACGCCACATCAGCGATACCGAGCATAGGGGTGACATGAAGCATTCTGGTTGGTTTCCGAATGACGTTCAACGTCCGCACAGAATAATTAATCCTATTTTGATCCTTTTGCAATACATGAACATTCAGAACAGTTTCTAAATGCAATCAGAATATTTCATACTGTTATCAAACAAGTGCATGAATAAAAAAAAAAGTTTTTTATTTTATAAAGAACAGGCTTATGAAGAAAGGCTCATGAAAACTGAAGAAATTATAAAAATATTTCCTTGCATTACAGTATAGTAAATTTCCCATTTCCAATGTCCATGAACTATTATACACAGCAGGTAACAGCTTGAATCCTATTTGGCTCTTAAATTTATCACTAAACACATACACAATTAATATGTACAAAATGACTACTAAATGCCACAGATTGTCTAAACTTACTGGTAATATCTGATCCAATACTGCAATTCATCATCTTGCATGAATTCTAAATCTTGTAGCTGTGGTATTGCTTCCTCTGCACAGCCTTGTTCAGCCTGCTAACGCAAAAATTGACTATGATTATTATTTTTTGAAGAGAAGTCTCCAAGAACACAATATTCTAATATTTCTTTAAAGAAAGTTATTCTGCCATCGCATGCCACAAAATAAAATAACTTAAGGTCAGTTTGGGATCACCTCTATTTTTGGTTTTACAAAATATGTTTGTTTACCATATACTTTACCTGTTTTATTTTTTGTTTTTAAAAATAAATCAAGTTATTTTTTAAAAACACACAAAATAATTTTAAGTTATTTTGAGTGTTTTAAAAATAACTATCACAATCCATGGACTCCTTCGCTACCGCTAGCAACCATCACCACCATCATAGATCACCGTTTGCTGGCCACCACCGCTACTCCACCGGTGATCACCACCACATAAATAAGCATATTCGATATTCAATAAAAATAGAAATAAATATTTTTAAAACAACAAATATATTTTTATTTCTCATAAAAATATAAACAAAATAAAATAATATAAAATATAAAAAATAAAAAACAGAAGTGATCCCAAACGGCATCTTAATTTTTTGTTAATTTCAAGTTTATTATTATTCCATAAAAGTTAAGGACAATAAAATATTACAACATATGGTTACAAATTTTGACATCATTGGCAGATCAAACTTCAAAGTTGACAATTAGAAGTCCAATTCTGAGATTTAGGTTTCGTTTGGACGGCTTTCTTGCTGTTTTCAAAAGTAAATTTTTAATACAAAATTTCTTAAACTAAAATAATTTGTACTAAAAACTGCTTCAGAAAGCCGTCCCAAATGAAGCCTTAATCACAGCAAAGGGTAAGCAAAACTTTTGAAGATGCACCTCCGTATCTCATGTAAGAATATTTTTTATTGGAAGAGAAGTTTATGATAGTATATGCAAAAGTCATAATATGATATTTAATTGTAACACCAAACATTTTACCTTAACTTTATGATAGCTTTCCAGCATACGCCGATACTGTTGCCTTGCCCTTGGAGATTCCACCATAGAAAGCACCCTTGAGTAAGCTTGGTCTAGGGCATCATCTACTTTTTGTTTGCGGAAAACCTTAACAATGTCTTCTTCCTCTTCCTTGTCCGCAAGAATTGGTTCAGGTCGAAACCCTCGAAGACCAGCACCCCTCCTTCGCCATCTCAGGACAACTTTTTCAAGCACACCAACCGTCCAAAGAAACTCCCTGTACTTCTTTCTCGTCTGATGGCCTCTTACATGAGCCTGTGAAGATCAAGAAATTTAAGATTGAGATAACATGGAGCCTTAAATCTTGCTGCAAAAAAAGCAGCGAATACTAAAATTTTTTTGCTGTTGAAACTAAAAAATTCTGCAAGCATGGCTTATCGACCAATTTTCAAGTGATCTTCATAGACAGAAAAGGCACTTTTCTATAACATAGCAAATTTGCCATAAAATGGAGCTTCTTGGAATTTGTTTTCACAACAATTTGAGAGGGCTCACAAATAAATCAGCTGACAGCATTCATCCCAATTTTAATAGAACATAATATTTAATAGATAAATAATGCAACACTTCAAAAAATGAAATGAAAATTTTCTTCTCATCTTTCAACATCAAAGAATTTAGTATTAAATGATTCCATAATACATTTTGTCATAAAAAAATTTCAATACTTCTTATGGTCAACTCAAGCAAGCACTATACAGGCAAATATTCTAAAGTCATAAATACAAATTCATGAAATCACATCACAATGAAGAAAATAAGTTGGACTTCTATAAAACCAGAGCAAGGCTAATAATAATAATATATCCAGTTAGCATTTGCATGGAAAATGGTCGGTAAATATTTTCATATAAAGGATTAGAAATGCAATTTTAAACTATACAAGCTTTAAGCATAAAACTTGGGAATGTAAATCACAAGAGCCTATTCATGACAGAAAGTTAAAAAGAGATGGGAATTGCTTTCTGCATATAAATGAACATGAAGTAGATGAGCACATAACTGTCAAGTTGAAAATTGTAATTTTGCTCACCTGTATTTTCACAACATGCTGACGGACAGTTAGGAAATCTTTTCGACCTTTCCAACCTCTATATTTCTTCTGGATAGATAGGGCTGCTTTATCAAATTTCTGATCCCGATAACTGTGAGTTGCTCTTTGATTCTTGGATGATGAAATGAGGCCATATATGTCTTTCGAAGTCAGTCCGTATTCATCGAAATTACCGGCAGCCATTTCATGCCTCTTCCTAAAAGAATGAGCGCGAAAAGCAGCCTGGATTCGGGCTGCAGCTTGTGCAGTATTCCTCAAAGCTGCTAAGGAATCTTTAAGTGAAAGATCATCTTCTGTTCCATCGCCATCCAACTGTGCAGTCCTCTCAGAAATGCTTTCTACTGCTTTTTCAGCCTCCACAGCTGCAGATCCCTTAGAAATCTCACATGCCTCCATGGTAAGTGAAGAGAGATGACTGGTCAGATCAGCTTCTGAAAGATACCCAGCTAGACCTTTGTGACCACTAGCAGCAGCTATAGCACCAGCAGTTTTACCCACAGGATCACTTGGTCTAGGATCTGTAACTGCGCCAGCTAAAGCACCAGCTGCAAGAAGTGCAGCAGCCATTTTTTCCCTATGAATGTTTGAATGTGTTTAAATAATCAGCAGCAAACATTTTATTGCATTATAATAAATTGTTGTGTGAGGATACTTCCATTAACAAATAGTAAGTCTAAAAATCATGCAATATAAATTATAGATACCAATATTAAAAGTTAAATAAGGAGTAGGAAAGACTGGAAGTCATAAATTACTCATTACCTTCCTAAGTGTGCAGCCCAATGAAGGGCAGTCCATCCGTTAGCATCTCGGAAATTAATACCAACACCTATATCAAGTAATGGATTTAAAGCCCACTCATACCCCAAACCAGAAATCATATGAATAATTCCTTGCTCCTCCTTGGAAAGCAAAAAATTTTCATCTTTAATAGGACTGATTTTGGACAAGTACCACTGCTGGAATTTATCCTTTATCAGTTCTTGAAGGACCCAATCCATGAGGCCTGATGAAATCTCACAACCAGCTTGTAGTTGATCAATAATTTGAAGCCATTCTTCCTCTGCTTCTTTGAACTTTCTGTGGTACTTGGCTTCTGTTTGGGCAGCACCTTCAGAAACTGAAAGATCGTGATGTCGAAATAAAAGAATACGCACAAATTTTACCAGCAATAAAAGCTCTTCAGAATTCTTTGTTGCATTCACATTATGCAAAGTTTCCATAGAAGTAGTTGCAGGCTTGGGGCGAAATTCAAACTCCCTTGCTTCACTGCAAGATTCCTTATTTCTAGAAGTTACACAAAGAGTGACCTTTCCTGTAATTTGCTCTGGAGCCTGACAACGTAGGACTCCTTGCTGCACAATTTCTGCAGGTACTTCAACGTCACCAAACATAACTGCCCAAGCATATGATAATGGATTGCAAAGGAAGTCTCCTACGATAAGAACCTGTAGAATGTATTTAATGCAATAACCTAATATATCAAATTGATTTTGTAATGAGAAAAGTAGTTTAGCTTGGAAGAAATGACCATTTTATTGAATTAATGGCTAAATTTGTATGTATACTACATATATGCCATTTAACTGTAAAGCACGAAATTTGACGATCGTAGGCGTCGCATGCATTTCGATGCGTCGCAACGAGATTTAAGGAAAAAATTCAAAGATAACAGAATTTGACTGAAGTAATTTTATAAAATTTTACGAAAAATTCTGATCGATTTGGTATATAAAACCCATAATTAATTTTCTGTATTTTGAAAGATAAAAATTATAGAAACCTCTAAATACCCAAACTACCCATAATCACTATTAAAGCCGAAATTGTTTAAGTGAGGACATTATGGTCTTTTGGCAATACCTATCTCCCTAATTAAGCAAAACTGAACCCTCCCCTATTCCCCCATTCGTAAGTTTTGGCCAAACCAAAACTGAGAGGGAGTGGACGGCTAGGAGCGGACGGGCGGCGATGGGCACGGCATCGGCGATGTTTTTCTGACGAGGAAATTAGTGGAAATCGAAGAGGAAGTCAAGGGGAATATTAAGGTATGTTTTATTTGAAGTGAATCCCTTTCTTTCTCAAGATTTTTGGAAAGAAATTTTTAGAGTTTTTCCAAAAAAATGTATTTTTCTTCCAAATTTATTTACAAAATCGATAGAGAAGATTTAGGGAAATGATTTATTGGTAGAAACAAAATTTTCTCAAATTATTTTGAGTTTTGAAAGATTAGGGTTTTTTCTAATTTATGATTTTTAAGTAAACCCTATAATTTTTATTCCTTATGATATTAAAGTGTTTTAATGATGAAAATTTAGGTTTTTAATAAAAATTTCATTTTTCAGAAATTTCTAATTAAATAATTTCGAAAATTAATTAACCTAATTATTAATTAGGTTTAGGAAAATGGTTAGCTTGAGGATATGATGAAAATTTATGATTTAGGGTTTCCTAAAATTTGGATTTTAATAATTCCAAAAATAGAATTTTAATTATCTTAATTATTGAAAATATCTATGATTTATGTTTAGTTCAGTTGTAATTATCCTTAGGTGTAGATAAATGAGACGACACGTGGTTGCGAGGTAGGTGATTGCAATTAAATTAAATTTATAAAATTTAATTATGTAATACTGCACTTTCAAAATTTACAAGTTAATGTTTATGAATTCTTTATTATTGCATTAGATTTTCAATTATTGTTTATACTTATGGCATGATACTTAGAAATGTTAATATTGTTAAACAAAACTTAAGGCATAAGTGATACAAAATTTATTACCCGAAAAATATTGAAGAACATATGATTTATGAATTATTATAGCTCCTTAATGTATATAAGTATTATGAATTTGCATGTGCATGATGATCCGGACACGTGGTTAAGCAATGTCGTGCATCGTAGTGGTTGTTGTTCGAACTTGCGAGGTAGGTGATTGCATTTAAATTAAGTTTATGAAATTTAATTATGTAATACTGCACTTTCAAAATTTACAAGTTAATGTTTATGAATTCTTTATTATTGCATTAGCTTTTCAATTATTGTTTATACTTATGGCATGATGCTTAGAAATGTTAATATTGTTAAACAAAACTTAAGGCATAAGTGATACAAAATTTATTACCCAAAAAATATTGAAGAACATATGATTTATGAATTATTATAGTCCATTAATGTATATAAGTATTATGAATTTGCATGTGCATGATGATCCGGGGTAGCAAATGGTAGTGAGGTTCTATGAAGCCAAATGGAAATAGGATTCTTCGGAGACAAATGGTAAAGGAATGGCCAATGACTGTGTACCTGATCAGTACAAAACTTGGGTATTTCCGGAACGGGTGCTTATTATATTATAATTATGAAATTTATGCATTTAACTTAAGGATTTAAAGAAAGAAAAGTTTATGAAAAAAAAAAGGAAAAATGATTAAGAGAAAAATATTTCAAGAAATGATTATGGAAATATCTTATAATTTGTCTATAAATGTTTATTATTATCTTTTATTATTTTATTTTTCATGTTTAATGACATAGTTAAGATGAAAAATATTTCATGAATTTAAAATAAATGTTTATCACCTGCTGAGCATTGGCTTATCTTATTATTGGAAATATTTTTCAAGAGATAGTGTTAAGAAGTGATGGCAACGAGACAACAGTACACCTACCGTCGTAAAGGACCTTAGGAAGAAATGTTTTATATTTTCTGTTTTATGTGTGTGAGTTAATAGAATGTAATGAGGAGTTTATTGGAGTTTATGTTTATGCTCATGTCTATGTTTTATGGATTTTTAGTGGCTCTTTCATTAAAGTTGTTTGGATGACATTTAAGATTATGTCCTTTTATGAAATGAACTGTTATCTTTCATTTATGTTATGTCTATGTTTTATGGATTTTTAGTGGCTCTTTCATTAAAGTTGTTTGGATGACATTTAATATTATGTCCTTTTATGAAATGAACTGTTATCTTTCATTTATGTTATGTGTTTTTCCGTACGACTGACTGTTCCCACCCCGTTATTTAAGGCTAACCGGACTAGGTCGTGACATTAACTGTGGAGCTAACCATATTGTTTAAATTGGCAAAACAAGTAGAATCCAAGGGCAGAGAGGGAATGGATAAAAGAATAGACATTTATCAAATTAGAGAACCTCCCCAAATAATTATTCAAAAATATAGGATCGAAAGATTGATTTTTCCTTGTTCTAATAAGCAAGACAAAGTACACTATATAAAGGATGCATAGCCCAATATGAGGACCAAGAGTGATTCGTCAAACGCAAAGAAAGGAATAAACATATGTAAAAATATTGGGAAATGCATAATATCATCCTCCTTCCAATAGAAATATGGTCATTTATTTGCAAGATGGCAGTATATCCCAAATCAGGACTACATTGAACAAAATTTGAGAAACTGCCTCCTAGGTGGCTCAATTGCCATGAATGATGGGGTTAATTGCAGGCAGCTTTAATCTGTTTACCATAATTGATTTCTAATAGCAGCTTTTACTGTTGTCTTCCCCATTATTCCATTCATCTTTGATTTCGTAGCAAACATTCTTTATAATTCGGTGATAGCAGTTGTCCGCAGCTTCCTATTGAACCCATATGGGTGGAGGGGATACCAAAAATAAAACAACAACCAAAAAGGTTGATTAGTATCCCAGATTTCCCAATTGTGTAAAAAATAATAGATAGAATGATTCTTAAATTCCATTATTCTAGTTCTTTTTTCCAAATACGACCCTATGCTTAAAATAAATAAAGAAAAAACAAGTTTGCTAAACAAAGTAAAAGAAATGAAACACAAGCAAAAGAAATTCGTCAAGACATAAACAATGATCTTGACGCCTCCACAAGTACTGCCTTTAAGAAGCTCCATGTTAGACCGGTCCACTGGACCGGTCCAGCCGGTCCGCACAGGACCGGCAAGTCGCAAAGAGCGACCGATCTCCGCCTCCTGCGGAGATCGAGCGGCCCGACCAGCCGAAGAGATCATTTTAGGAAGCATTTTTTAGCGTTTTGAGAGGGAAATTTGAATGTAGGGACTGTTTAGGGATTTCCTTTTGATTTGTATGCATTAAATAGTAGATTTTCCTAGGGTTTGAGCATCTTGAATTTGGCTGAAATTTGAGATCTCGTAGATTTAGGGTTTCTTTGGGCTCTAGCGGCGTCTAGAGATTTGGGAGAGATCGATCCTCCTCTCGAATTGAGGATCAATTGTATCTTTGCTGTTTTATTCATCTACTAGTGAAATACAAGAGTTTTTCTTCGTTTTCTATCAGATTTCCTTGTCAATTTGCTGTTTTTCTGCTGTAAACAGCAGATTTCTGCTGTATTTCTGCTGTGGACAGCAGTTTCCATCGGATCAACTTCAGTTTTGGTGAGAAACACTTGGGAACTCAAGTGTTTCCTATCAAATTGGTATCAGAGCATCGATTCGGGACCACCGGCTGCTGAAATTCTGAAATTTCAGCAAGATCTTCGTCTCCGGAAGAAGATTTTTGTGGATCCGATAGAAGAAAAATGGCCGGAAAGAAGGTGGAAGTATTAGAAGGCGAGTTCGGTCAACTGAAGACAGATCTGGAGGGAAAGTTCCTGGAAATCTCCACCAACAATGACAGGTTGGAAGGGAGGTTCGCGGCTATGGAAGAAATGATGAAGAAACTATTGGAGATGAAAACCAATCAGGGTACATCGGAAGTGAGAGAGACTACTGACGGCCATGGCGTAGGAGGAAATCCAAACCCAATCCGGGGGAGGAGGAATCCGGAGG